ATGGAAAGTAAATAGTGTGTGTGTGTGTGTGTGTGTGTGTGTGTGTGTGTGTATGTGTGTATCGTCACCCACCCACGTGGCGCGCCTCGCTAGCAAAACTTCCTTTTTAAGTTACGTTTATTCGCGGCTCACCTCGTTTCAACTCCCTCGGGAAAACAGGGGAGAGCTTATAGCGCCGCTCGCTAATGATGTTGTTCTACTTCCGACGCATTCCTCATCGACATACCGTCGAACACGACCCTTTAAAATCGGGTTACATTTTCGAAAATGTGTTGCGCCGATATCGAGTATCGTTATTGAATTGGAACATGTATGAATATATTCATAAAATGTCAAAGGTCATAATATTCTATATCAATACACCATACATTTTCCCGATTATCTTACTCCTTCGAACTCCTCGTAAATTCCGAGGCGACTTTCGCTTTCAAGAAATTCACATAAAAGCTCGAGATTTTCGGTCGCAATCAATTAATTCACGTTGAATTGAAACTTTATTTCATCACAAAACACCGAATAAAAAATGGCGAAAAAAAATTTTTATTACACTTACGCCCTTAAAGTTTAATGTTACGAAAGTTTCGAACTTTCGATATTAAATGTCTCTACAATCTCGCAGCAAATATCCGAATTCCTTTCATAAAGCCCATTCAAATATAACTTTATAAAGCGTTTGCTGGTTTACTGTCGCCCTCCGTGTATCGACGTATAAATTAGATGCTTTTTTTTTTTTACGTAATTTCGCGGTTCAAAATGCAGAAAGTCGCGTTCCTTCGCGTTACTCGCGTACCGCATCTGTCCGCATGTTTGATGCAATCGGTTCGGTGGTTTGCCGGAATTTAGAATATTCCACACACCGACGAGCACACACCGCACGTTCGCACCATGCACCCATGCACCCATACCACGCACGTGGACACGTGTAACGCGCGCGCGCGCGCGCGCGCGCGCACATAAACGTACACACGTGCTGCAGAAATGTATTCCCCCTCCCGCTTGTATTTGACGAGTATTACGAAGTATCCGTGTGTATCGTTTGTGTGTAGCGACTACGTTTCCACCCCGAACGCGTCCGCGACTAAAAATGATCCCGGTTATATACCGCGTTATATTAGCCCGCAGTCGCGCGCGCACATGCATATGTAGTACAGACGAACAACTATTAGAATCGTAACGGATTTTTTTCGCCCCGATCCATCTCGCATTCCGGCCTCATCGCGCGCATCGTGCAAGTTTCGAATAATACGTTCCGCCTCATTCCCCGATTCGACCGATCGGATCCGGGGCGCGTAACAGCCCCGGACGCTTGTTACAAAACTATTCGAAAAACTGGTTTCCGCCGTTCGACTGAGCAACCCCCGCGCACTTCTTCGCGCGCGCACGTATGTGTGCGTGCGTGCGTGCGTGCGTGTGTGCGTGCGTGTCGTGCGTGCGTGCGTGCGTGCGAGTAAGAGGAGTCTCGTCGAGCTGCTGCGGTTTGTGCATGCGGCGCCCGAAGCACGTGATAAGTTAGTCGAGCGTACGAGCGCTCCGCGCGCTTGTCTCGTGCGGCAATGACGACTCGATGCGAGCGATTAAGACGAATCCCGAAGGGCGTAAATGCGAGCGTGCTCAAGCAGGACTATCGATAAGAATGCGGACCGACCGGGAAGACGAGCGGTAAATAACGCCGGCTACCTGTGGACTGCGTTATCTAGGAATGTCAACTTACGCGACGTGCACTCTACTCTCTTGTCTCCCGTATCGTTCTCATAGTCGTTGCTATGCGTCCGTTTTGATATCTTAAAAAAGGAATATCCGAAGAACTGCTTTTCGACAATGCCTTTCTCGAAAAATATTTTTCAAATAAATATAAATTTTTTTTTATTACATCTTGTGTTTTAAAGTGTTCGTTCAGAGTTTTTTTTTTTTTACAGAAATTCGCGTAAAAATAATAATTTAATAAGTCGATTTGATAAAGTATTTTTAAGTATTTTTCACGTTGCAATTCTCTATTTTGAAAATTAAAAGAATGCGATACGTAGAAATTAATAAATAAAAAATGTATCATTTTTTTCTAGAGATTTAAAATTTAAAAAAATTATCGTTTTAGTATAATGTTAAAGTTAAATGGTCGATAAAAAGAAACGCTGAGGGAAATAAAAAACAAATAGGAAAACAAATGTATGTAACTTAAAAGTTATATTGGATAGAAAAGAGAGTGAAGAAAGTAATATATCATTTTCCTATTATGATTTATTATATTATATTGTTAAGCGCTTAATAGTACCTAATTTGATCATAAATTATTTATACGTTGCTCCAGACGTACGAGAGAGATATATCTCAAATAAATCAGTCCAATGAATTTATCGCGAATAAGTACGAAAAGATATACGTTCCCGCGATTCGCTGTTAGATTGTAAAATTTTATGTTCCTAAATATTCTGCATTTTCTAAACCTAAAATTACTGCAAATCAGAATAATAGCAACTTTCACCGCGATTAATAATCATTAGCGTAACCGCTGCTGCGTGCAACTTTCTCTACAAATCGCGCTCCATTTCTCAGTGCATAAAATCTTTCCAAAGTTTTCTATATAATTAGAAAATATGACTTAATTGAAAGTAATACGTTCTAATGCCCATCCATAGCACAGTTTATTGCAATTTGCACATTCGCGGCAGAAAGAATATTTGAATATGTGTTATTGTTTATAAACTTTAATTATTCGTCTCGAGTCGGATATACGTCAGGTGATCCGTGAACATAAATTATACATGCAAACTACAGCGAACAAAACTCTATTTCAATATCTGTGAGACTGACGTATGCATAAAATACATCCTTTACTATAAACAATTATATACAATAAAACTCCTTAAATTTTCAACCGTAATAATTAACTCGTACTCGGACATTGTAATAGAATAATTATTCGCTTTGTAGATTTAAACATCCAAATTGGCGTCAAAACTTACCCTTGGTCCAACCTGTCGACCGGACCAGCGGGGCCCATCATCGCCGGATGTCCAGGTCCCATAGGTCCAGCCATGGGATGTCCTCCTGGTCCAAACGGGCTTCCAGGTGGTATACCATACTGTGGTCCACCAAACGGCTGGCCGTGCGAGGGGAAATGAGGATTACCGGCACCCGGTGGTACAAACGGTGGTCCCGAGGAGCCAGGTCGGCCAACGAATTGCGGTGGCCCACCGGAGGGTGATCCGAACGGACTAGGCCCAGGCCCGTTGTACGGCGGACCGGAATTATTCGGAGGTGGCGGAAAACCGGTGGAATTAGGCGGTGGTCCAGGACCGGGTGTCGAGGAACCGCTTGGTGCGGGAGAGGCGGTATACTGCGGCGTCGCCGAACCGGGCGGTGGACCCTGATACGGCGGTGCCCCGGCTGGACTGCCAGCGCTACCAGGGAATGGACTCGGTCCTTGGAAGCCCGCATTACTGGGTGGACCGCCAGTGTTGTTGTACGGACCCGAGCCAGGACCACCACCCTGGCCGACGGAATTGGGCGTAAAGGGCGATGCCTCCGAACCGGGCGGCGGGCCCTTCCAGGAGGCTGGTGTACCGGGATCCTCCAGCGTGGTAGTGGCTGCCAATGGCGTATTCAGGCGGCTACAGCCTACAAAGAGATGAGTAATGTAAACTATTGACTAAATACGTGCTAAATAATATAACATTCATATTAATTTATCAATATAACTCAATATAGAAATGATAAGAAATGATTAAAATATGTAGCGATACAGAAGATTATTTTATACATAACTCAAATGTTTTCCAATTATAACTGTACGCTATTTGTATTATGATATACAGACTAGTAATATAATAATAACGGTACTGATTAATAAACTGATTTAATTATAGACTAAATGGAAGTATAAAAGAACAGGTTTATGATAAGTTCAATGATTATGTTTACGATATGAATCGTTGATGCTTAAAATTGTTCCACTTGCATCATATTTCTGACAGAAAACATGATAATAAGAAGTTCGCATAAATGAGCCTTGTGCAAATAATAAGAGCTTCTATGTTTCATGTATCTGATGATTGTAGCAGCATCAAAGGATTCATTCTACGTAAACAACAATCCAATATACGGTATATCGTTGTAAAGTTTCGTATAACCTCTTCATTCGGGACAAAAACGGAGACACATACACACAGAGTCGACAATCTGCTCAATCATATTCCGTAACAAAAACGTATGTAGAAGAAAATCACCATTGTTTGTCCCATTGGCCTTCATTGTCCCGTGGTCACCCAGCTCATTCCACCTCACCGATTACCCAAATTGCGTAAAGAGCCAAAACGTAGCTTCAACGTGAACGCACACACAAACTCGTTCCCGATCGTTCCCGCGAACGATCCAATTCCAGGACGGTGATGCGCGGCTACGGAGATTTTGACTCTCCGTGCCGCTCGCGCTTTAAGGTTATGTGCCGGCACACCTAACCTAAACCAGTACACGCACCAGTATGCGAAACACACGGACGTCCGGCCGGTTCGCGACGAAGGCACACTTTAAACCGCCGCGCTCGCTTCAGGAGTCCGCGGCCGCGTCGATCGTTCGTCGCGTCGCACCGCACGCGATCGCGAACTCGTCACGGTGAAACAGCGGCGGCAACAACAACAGAGGCCCGTCGTCGTCGTCGTGCGGCGGTCGCGTCGCCGGCCGCATCTTTCCAACGGTCGTCGCTCCGCTGCCCGTGCGTGTCCCGCTGACTCAAGACGCCTCGGCCGGCGCGCGTACGTAATCCGCTCGCGCATTCGCTCCCAGACGCGTGCACTGCTGCGACATGACGCTAGTAACCATTCATCCCCCGCGTCGTCACATTGCAGGAAAGTTCACGACGTTCCAAACACAAGCGACCTCGCGAGTGCGCCCGCCCGCCCGCGCGCGCGCGCGCACTCCGTCTCGCTCTCTCTCTCTCTCCCCTCTCCTCTCTCTACTACTCTCTACTACTACTACCTACGTACGTACTACTACTCTCGCTCTCTCTCTCTCTCTCTCTCTCTCTCTCTCTCTCTCTCTCCTGGTCTCCTCCCTCTCCTTTCTCTCCTTTCGCCCGACGAAGGAGAAACGTGTGAGAAGGAGAGAAAGAGAGGGATGCGAGGATTGTGGACGAACGAGAGAGATGAAGAGAGCGAATGGGACGGAGCGCGAATGAACACCACCGGAGTCAACAGACGAACTTGGCGGTCAGGGATGTAACTCGCGAGGGCGATGTGAATTAATTCGACTAACTTCACTCGAACTCGGGGAGAAAAATGGCAAATTTTCGCGAAAATTCGCTCGTTATTCGCGACACGAAATTTTGAGATCTCCGCGAAAAATCGTGTTATATGTCACGTTACCAGAAATCTTGGCGCGAAGTCGAGATGTGTACATACGAAATACGATGTCACAGTGAAGATATTGATGATCGCTGCGTGTCACTTCGCGCTATCACTTCGATCGTCGCTCGCACACAACGCTCACCGATTTCTATCACTCACACGTGCCACCGTGGAGGCGCTCGCGAGTTATGCACATACGCACGTGCGCCAGGAGCGTAACTAAGTCACGCACGCCTTCTAGCTGCTCACGGACCACGTGTTCCACTCTCCTTCTCTCTCTATCTCTCTCTCTCTCTCACTTCTCTCTTTCGCCTCCTCTCTCGTCTCCCTACCTCCCGTCATCCGCGGCGTCTCCGTTCCTCGCTTCTCTCGGTGTCGCCACTCACGCCCGAATGTCAACTGGATTTCTTCCTCGGCCGCAGACGATAATCGCTATTCCACGCGCGGACGCCGAAGAGGGTTGCCATTTTTCCGCTTTTATTTTCCTCCGCTCGCCGAGCGCAGGCGACGACCGTGGGGTGAAAACGGGAGCCGCGCCGATCGAGACTTCGTCGCGTACACACCCGCGCCGCGTTCTCATGACGCGACGCACGCCCCCGCCCGCGCCACCCCTAAGGAGAGAGCCGTCCGCTCTTCCTGCGCCGTTCACCCCTTCTCGACCGCGTGGCCTGTTGTTTCTCGCGCGCGACCACCTCGCCGCCGGTCTCACGCGAATGACGACGCGCCGCGCCGCGTCGCGCCGCGCTGCGCCGGCTCGCGTCACCGCCAGGCGTCGCGCGGCGAGCGTGCCTCTGCGGCCGGCGGTCGCGATCGCAGCGTAAATTAACCGTTGCGTTCGGAAGCGCACCTCTGCCTCCGCACGTTTTTTTTCCCAAACTGTCACCAGACGTCGACCGTCGTCGAGGCCGCCCGTCACACGCCGCTGCAACACACCTCGCGCCGGTATCGATTGTGACTCGCGTGCCCGGCACTTCGCGTAATTTTACGACTGTAACGGTCCTCGATGACGCGGTCGCCCTTTCGCGAGGAATGCGCGCGACAATCGTCCTCCTTTCCTTCTTTCTTCTTTTTTTTCCGCTCGATGAATTATTTTTCCGAGAGTGAGAAGGGCGACGCGCGGCTGGTTTCGAAGCTTGACACGCGCGAATTTGGCGACTGTAGTTTCATGTCCCGCGAAACTATAGTTTACACCACTTGGACGCGGTAATTTCCGATCGATTAATCAAGAGGAAACTTTGACAACTCGGTGTCGCCTGTTGCATGCGAGCGACGCCGTGTATATGTGCGTGACAGCGATGTGTTACGCATCGAAATTTGCGGACGGCACAGCTGGAACGTTATTCGACGAACGTCGTTAAATCGCGATGGATTTTTGGGATGACTCCGCCGTGAATCCGCGGCTTTACTTATCGGCGCTGCCAGGAGCGATCCTCTCCTCGCGCACTTCACTCCGGATGGGCGCAGCGCGTAAGATCGTTCCAGCATTCCGTGATTACAATCCCACGCGTGCCGATCCGAGCGTCGACACGTACGCTTCCTGCCGATCACACCGCATAATTTTCGCGAACGATCCCACGATCGCGAAACGCGAGCGAGCACCGTGAAGAGAAGCCACGTTTCCCGTGCAACTCGTGCGTCACTCGCGTCCGCCAGCGCGACGCCTACCTCCAAAGCCGGGAGAGCGGAAAAACGCGGGGTGGGAATAGAAGAAATAAAAAAGGAGCCAGAAAGAGAGAGAGAGAGAAGGAGAGAAAAAGAAAGATAGCGCAAAAGAGATAGAGAAAGGGCAACGACGATCACTACTACGGACTCGCCGTCGCTGTTCGCTCGCGGGGACTCGCACCCACCGGTGTGCAGGGTTCCCCTCGCGTTTCCAAGGTGGCAATCACCACCGATAGATAGGGGTGCAGATATATATATCTATTTGCGCCGCGCGACAAAGACGAACGCGTGCGATTGAGCGACGGCTCACGAAGAGCTCGCCCCACGTGGAGCGGCTCCTACGAACGTGTACGGCCCTGCGCGCCGAGAGAGAGCTGCACCCCCAACCGCAACGGGACTGCGCCGCGGTTACTCTTTCCTCCCGTCGGCGTCGCCGTCGCCGCCACCACCGCTGCCGCAGCCGCCGCCGTCGTCGTCGCCACCAACCACCGCGATGTGCGCGACGAAAAAACGTCGCACAGCCTCGCCCGGCGTGCGTATCAACTAAGACGAGTTCAGCGTCATCGTCGTCGTCCTTGTTCGCTAATCGACGCGTTGACGTCGACGGCGGAGTGTAGCCTATTTATGACCGAAAGACTTTTCTCTAACATAATGACGCGTTGACAACCGGCGCATTTTTTTTTTTTTCGTTCCCTGTCGTTTGAAAGTCGCCCGTCGCGGGGGACTCGACACTCGCCGCCGGTTGACAGTGTCACCCTAAAAATCAATAAGGGGTTCACCCTGCCCGCCGCCCTCCTCCTCTTCCTCTTCCTCCTACACTTCCTCCTCCTCCTCCTCCTCCTCCTCCTCCTCCTCCTCCTCCTCCTCCTCCTCCTCCTCCTCCTCCTCCTCCTCCTCCTCCTCCTCCTCCTCCTCCTCCTCCTCCTCCTCCTCCTCCTCCTCCTCCTCCTCCTCATTTTCCTCCTCCTCCTCGTTTTTCTCCTTCTCCACGCGGCTCCTCTCCGCTCTTTCGCTCGCTCTCGCTCTCTTGCTTCCTACCCTCTGTCCCAGGGAACGTCGACAGCGGGGGTCGACCGGTCGCGGAAGTTATGGCGGCTGGACGGCACATCATTCTATCAAGTGATGATGCAATGCTAGAAGGCCTCCTCCTTCCAAAATTTATGAAGTTACAACCGATGATATGTGAAAATAACATTGTCTCATACAGAAATATTGTTTTTTTTTTTTTCGAAAAAAATAACTTGTAAAAAATAACATTAACGTATGTCATCATCAGGAGCTTCGACGTGTGCAAGAGCGATAATTTAGCAATCGTCGCATTTTATAGAGATAAATTGAATCAATGTAGCTACTTCTAGGATTACGCATATGACATTGTAAAATTTTGTATCTCATAAATAAAAGCTATCTAAAATCTTTCTCGAGAAAGTTCTTCGAACTACGCATTCAATCTGTTTCGTCAGATTTTATCGCGACGAAAAAAGGTCCATAAGATTCCGATGGCGACGCACTCGAGCGCTTTCATGTTAAATTGAGAAAACTCAATGTTGCAGCTCCTCCTGCAAGATTTAGTCCGCACGGTAGCTCGAGTAAAATTATCGAAAGGTATGCAGGAACTGCCGTATATGTGAGAAAATGCGTTCTCTTTTCCGCATGTCGCTGTGCGTGTTCGTATGTGTATGTGTATACATTCTCACATCGAGACATTACTGTCGCGTTGTTATGGTCCCTTGCTCCTTCCGCGAGCCGTTGGTATAGAAACACGGAGCTATGGAAGATTATACCGACCTACCTCACAGCCTGGGAAATTTGGAGGAATTACCGTGCGAAAGTCACGTCGCTAGGGCTAGGGCGTAATTGTAAAATATTACACCATTCCCGAATGTAACAAAATCAAAATAGACCCTCAGATGAAAAATTAACCGACCAAAACAAAACAAAACAAAAAAAAAAAACGAATGTTGAACAAGATTTCAATTCGTTGCATTTAGAATCGAATTGCGAATTATAGATATCTCAATTCGGTATTTACTAAGAAATGATTATGATTCGAAGACGAGCTCATCCAATCTCCAAAATTGGCTAGAGAATCCGGAAGAATCGAAGAAAGCTTGATGGATCGACGTTTCGTTTTCGTGATGGCGTGCAACTTCCGCTTTATTAGACATCGATATCTGTGTGATCTCGCTATAGTGTGTTCAAGGTCACATTGGGTACCGCAGCACAGCGGAATAAGCGAGACTCACGTCATGTACACGCGTCAAATCGTCAGCGCGAGGCGCGGCAGTATCCCGATGCATATCTACGGATGAGGCGCCGTCGCGCGTGGAGGCGCGACTCGATAACCCGTGATTCGGGGTCAGCCTGATCGCCTTTCATACGCTTTTATATACGCACAGAGACGAAGGGAAGTCGCCTCCGGCGACGGTCGATGCGTCAGCCGTCCCCTCGACTTCGGCGACTACATCGCGATAAAGCAATCGTAGTCGACGTGCGACACGGCGTGTCGACATCGACGGACACTCGACATTGGCGTGCCCCTCTCCGTGCCCCCCTTATTTATTGCGAGAATGATCTTCCGTCTAAGCGGATAACACGTGGGAATAACGCAAATAATTCGTACGGATGGTTCAACTTCGCGACTTTCTCTCTGTGTAACGAATTGTTTGCCGCAAAAGATTAAGCCTTCTTAGGCTAACTCGGATTTGTACCTGATTCCGATCATCGACCTGCGATTTAAGCTCGAACTTTGTGTTCGTCGTCGTGGAAAAAACAAAGTAGCAAAGCAAAGCTGACGACGTAGCTACGCGATAGTCCGTCTTTGAAATTTTTTTCTTCATTATAGCAACTGAAACGCCGGCTCTATAATCGCCGAATTTAT